AAACATATTTTATATAAATATTTTATATATATAGGGTGTCCCGCATAAGGCGTCCAAAAAGAAAAATATAGGTAGAGCAGATAAAAGTAAACAAATATTGTATAGGTCATTTTTCAAACAATCACGTAAAATTACTAGATATTAATTAAAATAGTTGGGTATATCAGAGCGCGACGGCGGGACAGGCGGGACATACGGCTCCTTTGACAACCAACAACCCCTCTTGTCCTATTCAGGAGGAAGAAATTATTGAGAGAAATTTTGAATCACAGGAAAATAGTTTTCACGCCGATCTGACACAATACGTGTCATTCGATAAATCCGTGTATTCATTCCGTTTAGCTGTTACCGAGAATACTATAGAGATAACCGATGAGGAGACTACCGAAAATCTTGACATATCAGATGCAATAACAAAAGGAACCGACATTGTGCCTATTATCAGTGAAGATATGAACATTAATAATTATTTTACCACCTTGCGTTACGCCATAGAGGCCTTTCTTTCTTTGACGGTTAAAATATACTGTTAGAATTCTTGATAAAAGAATGCGAGTTCGCAAAATCCATGTTGCTAGCCGACAGCGAAATTTATTTAACTAAAATCACTCATACGCGATTAACTAGTGAAGCTTGACGTTCAGTACAAAATCAGGATTTTTCGTGAATTAATTAATTAACAGCTTATTTAAAAAAATGTTTTCAGACCTACCAAAAGCCTTTACAAATTGCAAGCAGACTTAGGGCGTATATCAACTAGCAGGTGAACAAATAGTATCCTATGTGTAAAAGCAATCGGGAGATGTATCCTAGAAGCTTATCGTGCTACTTTTAGCGGACTCATAAGCCAATCAGTCAAAGCATTATTAGAAAAGGAGATGTTTCACAGTTTTGTCAGGGGTTTAGTACCAGAGATAGAACAGTGAATCTCTCGAAATCTAGACGTAACGAGCACGGTGAATGAAGCATTGAGAATAGAGAGAAAATTATGTGCGATTGATGAGTTGCATGGCGCATCCAATCCGTCCGCTAATTTGCAAACCTGCCAGATTTGTAAGACTCCCGGTCATACTGTGGAAAATTGTTAATTGTTACGAAGCTCCAACTTGGGTAACGATATTTTAATTTGTCAACTTTGTAAAAAACGGAGCCATAGCGCGGATAAATGCAAAACCAGAGACCGCGTTAATACTGCGTCCGTAAAACTTGTGCAGAGCAATGTGATCACGAGTCAAATTTGCTTCAAACCCAATCATACTGCACAAAACTATCGGTCTATTCACAGCCAGTCTAACATCATTTGTTATAATTGCCGAAGACCCGGTTATCTTGCTAAAAATTGCCAAATTCCCCGTAACCAGTTAAATGTAATTTGTCAGAATTGCCAGAAATCCAGTCATACCGCAAGAGATTGCCGAAGTCGCTCAATTACTATTAATGATTATCTTTGTCAATTATGTAATAAAACGGGTCATGGTGCTAAAAAATTGCTATACTAATACAAATCGGAACACTTCGCTTAATAATATCACTGGGGCATGTCAATGGTGCGGACGCCCAGGTCATGTCGCACCTCAACGTCGCGCAAGGCAATCCGGTAATCAAAATTCACTGCCGAGCAACAATTCAATATATGCCAATTATGTAATAAAGCTGGATAAAAAGCAAGGGAATATCGGGGAAACCAACCAACTTCAAGTCTGTCAAATCAGTGCAGATACCGTAAAAAAACGGGTCATTCCTTAGAGAATTGCGTTTTGAGAATTGAAAATAATGAGAGATAGGGAAACCAATAGAGTTCTTCGACTACGGGCGCGACTCGGGGAATCGCCGACCTCCGTGAAGTTAGCCCCCCAACATTCAAAAAAATTCAATTTCTATAGCTAATTCGTTTGCTCATCGTTTGCTCATGTTTGCCCATCAAAAATTTTCGTTTGCACACACAGTTTAAAAGTTATTGAAAAAACAATTTGGGGGGGGGGCGCAACTTCATACTAGTCCCTAACATTCGAAAAAGTAAACTTCCTATAGCTCAAACGACTGCTTATCGTTTGCACATGTTTGCACATCAAGAGTTTTCGTTTGTACACCTTTAGTTTAAAAGATATTTAAAAAACAATTTTGGGGGGGCTAACTTCACACTAGCCCTCAAGTTACTCAAATTCAACTCACAATGCATGTAATAGATAGATTCTCGTTTGCACATTTCGAAACAACTCGAATTTTCATTTGCACACTTCTAGGAAAAAAGTTATTTAACATTAAACTTTGAGGGGGCCAACTTCACACTTGCCGAAATTTATAATTACAAAAAAATGTCTGACGCATGATATCGTTAGATTCTTGTTTGCACATTTCGAAACAACTCGAATTTTCATTTGCACACTTCTAGGAAAAAAGTTATTTAACATTAAACTTTGAGGGGGCCAACTTCACACTTGCCGAAATTTATAATTACAAAAAAATGTCTGACGCATGATATCGTTAGATTCTTGTTTGCACATTTCGAAACAACTCGAATTTTCATTTGCACACTTCTAGGAAAAAAGTTATTTAACATTAAACTTTGAGGGGGCCAACTTCACACTTGCCGAAATTTATAATTACAAAAAAAATGTCTGACGCATGATATCGTTAGATTCTGGCTTGCACATTTCGAAACAACTCGAGTTTTCGTTTGCACACCTTTAGAAAAAAAGTTATTTAACATTAAACTTTGGAAGGGCTAACCTCATACTTGCTGAAACCTTTGTTAATTGCAGGAAAATATTGTCTGACGCGAGATTTTCGTTTGCACGTTTCGAATAACGTTATCATGCGTAAGACAATTTTTTTTGTAATTTTAAATTTTGGGAAGTGTAAAATTGCCCCCCCCCCTCAAGTTTAATGTTAAATAACTTTTTTCTTAGAGGTGTGCAAACGAAAACTCGACTTGTTTCGAAATGTGCAAACGAAGATCTAACGATATCATGCGTCAAACAATCTTTTTTGCAATTATAACCTAAGTTTCGGCAAGTGTGAAGTTAACCCGTCCAAAGTTTCATGTTAAATAACTTCTTTCCTAGAGTGCAAACGAAAATTCGAGTTGTTTCGAAATGTGCAAATCTATCAATATCATGCGTTAGAAAATTTTTTTGTGGAATTATAATTTTCGGCAAGTGTAAAGTTAGCCCTCCCCAAAGTTTAATATTAAATAACTTTTTTCTAGAGATGTGCAAACGAGAACTCGACTTGTTTCGAAATGTGCAAACGAAGATCTAATGATATCGTGCGTCAACAATTCTTTATGCAATTATAACCTAAGTTTTGGCAAATGTAAAGTTAGCCCCCCAAAGTTTAAATAACTTTAGGTTAAATAACTTTTTTTCTAGAGGAGTGGGGACGAAAACATGTTTCGGAATATGCAAACGAAAACTTGTTTCGGAATATGCAAACGAAAATCTAACGACATCATGCGTCAGACAATTTTTTCTTGCAATTATAACATAGGTTTCGGCAAATGTGAAGTTAGACCCCCCAAAGTTTAATGTTAAATAACTTTTTTTCTAGAGGTGTGCAAACGAAAACTCGAGTTGTTTCGAAATGTGCAAATGAAAATCTAACGATATCATGCGTCAGACAATTTTTTTTGCAATTATAAATTTCGGTAAGTGTAAAGTTGGCCCCCTCAAAATTTAATGTTAAATAACTTTTTTCCTAGAGATATGCAAACAAAAATTCGAGTTGTTTCGAAATATGCAAACAAGAATCCATCGATTACATACATTGTGAATCGAATTCGAGCAACTTTGAAGGCTAGTGTGAAGTTAAATCCCCAAAAATTGTTTTTTAAATATCTTTTAAGCTAAAGGTGTGCAAACGAAAACTCTTGATGTGCAAACATGTGCAAACGATAAGCAGTTGTTTGAGCTATAGGAAGTTTACTTTTTCGAATGTTAGGGACTAGTATGAAGTTGCCCCCCCCCCCAAAATTGTTTTTTCAATAACTTTTAAACTGTGTGTGCAGACGAAAATTCTTGATGTGCAAACATGTGCAAACGATGAGCAAACGAATTAGCTGTAGAAATTGTATTTTTTCGAATGTTAGGGGGTTAACTTCACGGAGGTGAATCGCCGAAACAGAGCGCTCGGCAATGACTTCACAGGCCCAAGAGATAATAACCGAACTCTTTTAATCCGACAAGTAGAAATAAATTAAATAATGCTAACAATTTTGAAATTTTCATGCTCCATACGGGATGAGGACCTAATTTAATCAAAGAAAACAGAATTTCCAAAAAATTAAACAATAAATCCGAGTCACATATTAAAGTTAAATAGTATTAATGAACATCTAGTATATAATACAGAGGAAATAATTATAAAAACCCTAGATATTCCTGTTAGTTTTCATCTTATTTTCTACTTAATCATATGGAATTTTAGGCAATGATTATTTCCAACATATAGGAGTAAAAATTGATTATTATAAAGAGCATTTAGACGTTTTGAATACTAACATTCCTTTTTATTCTCCTGAATCAATAATAATCCCTGCGCGTTCAAAGGCATTGTTCTTCGTGCATATCGGAAACCCGCATATCAAAGAAGGATATTTACCTAAAATGACTATTGGTGACGATGTGGAAATAAAAAGGGACTAATAATTTAGTTCAAGCAATAAACCTAATTATTTGAAATTGCAACTAAAGATTTAGTTCAAGCAAAAAACGCAATTATTTGAAATTGCAGCGAAACTAACGAATTTGTCATTACAATAAAAACATTTTATTGGAACACACACACACACACACACACACACACACACAAATAAATCAATACAAAAAATGTGCTTAGTGTAACATACTTCACACTTCTTTGATTTAAATATAAAATATTTTATTTAACCAAATAGATTTCTCAGTGTGCTGCTTGACGTATTGAGCAACTATTTAAATCCATTTCTTCCTTATCAAAATGTATTTAATAATATATCTCATTGTATTTTACTTCTTATACAGATACTGAATTACGAGTTTTACTACTCTATAAAGACCATTGAAGATTATCTTAAAAATGGAGGTTCATTGATTGAATGTCTTGAAATTTTACCTTCTTTGGTATATGCATCCATGAAGGAGCAAATAAGTAATATTCTAGAATTCATGGAGAATCGTTTACCCAAGTACCTTATACCAACGATTTCTCTACTTAAACGATCTTTTTCTGAAGATGTTTTGGACGGTGATGAGATCTATAGACCTAACTGGGGATCTCTAAAGAGTGATTTATTGGAGAAAATCTCTCTGAAGGAACTGCATGAGGCAACTATATCTTTGAGCTATCGCGAGCCAGTCAAAGATTTTAAAGGACCTTGGCCAAAAATAATTGGCGAAACAGTATATTTGATAAATAATAAGGTCATCCCTTTTCGTCGAGAATTAATTGCATATATACTGACGAACTTGAGAATACCTGACGCAACGGCAGAAGTTAGGAAATCAGTCACGCATCTTGTCGACTATTTCCAGCAAGATGGCGAACGCAAACTTTCTGACTTCAAAACGTCCTCCGATCCATACATATTAGTAGCTAATGTCATTTCAAGTCTATCTTTGCGGAACGAGACTCTAATAGCCGTTAACTTACTTCTGCCATTTTTAAAGAAGTCGTTAGAATGTCGACATGTTTCCGAGTTGGGTAATTTTTTCTACAACAACGTTTTTAACTATACTGTCCTGATATCTCGAAACAGAATAATTTCTAAGACGAAAGCTGGTATAGTGCTTATGTCCATGATCGAACAAAACAACGTAGAAGTACAGAATATGGTAAGGCAGTTCTCTCTATTTGAATATATAAGCTGGAAAGATCTTCTGCTGGCTTTTGTCAGTCAACTTAGACGTCATCGAGTCGAGGTGTCAGATATTGTGGATAATGTTTATGGTGATCTCGTACTAAAAAATGTTCGGAAGCGTTGGCAACTTATGAGCAACCAGATGATCACGAAGATTGTTTCTTTCGCCATAGGAAGAAAAGAAAGCTCTGCCAGGATCCAAAGACTTCTTACGGATATGGGTTTGGACAGAAGCATCCAGCCGAAAGACTGGCGGAAAGCTCTTGTTTTTGCCTTGGATGATGAAATCAATGGACCGATGGACGCTGCACTAAAGACACTGAAAGCTTTGTTAGCTTCCGAAATTCTTCAATCTGATATACTAAAAGCAAATATTGCTGAGTTGGTGGATACATACGATAATAAATTCGATAAAGAACGGTTTGAGTGTGGCAGTCTTTTGGAAAGTTATCTGATCAATTTTACTCGCGCAAAAATAAGTATTGATAAGAAAATAAAAATTGCGGACGTAGATATCGAAGATCTCCTCCAAGCTTTGTGTAACTTGGATGTCTATACGGATGAATACAGAAGATTGCAAAATTTCTTGTCACGGGATGATCTAGAGATTAAGATAGGGAAGGTGGATGTAAGTGCACATCTTTCCAGAGGTAGATTGCTGTCTCAATTGCTGCAGATGTTGGAACACGCCAGTAATGTAGATAATGATTTACGTAATTTGGCTGGACAATTTGTCGATAATGTGGCTTACGAAGGATACGGTGCCGGTATTCCATCACTGCGTTATAATTAGTTTGAGAGTGTACAAGTTTTATATTACGATAGCAGAGTATTGTTTTACCCCATATACATACGATACAGAATTTTCTCTAATTATTTCACACATTCAAACAATTAGGTTTCGGTATTAAACTTTAGAAATTATTCCTTAGAGATAGTCAATTCCTATATCGTGAATATTTATCGCATAATACTTTATGATTTGTCTCATCTTTTAAATAACAATCTTTCATCTGTCGTTCACTAATAAAATATAATTCCATTAAATTTTCTTTTGCAAAATATTATTACAAAAGTTCATACCCCTTATAGAAATATCATACTAAGAATCATTGATAATTACTTATTTTCAGTATTAAAAATACTGGATAATAAGTAATTATCAATGATTCTTAGTATGATATTTCTATAAGGGACTATGACGAAATACTTCATTAATTTTGATAAACTTAATAGAATAAAAAGTGTTCAGTCAAAACAAAATTTTCTATTCGTAAGCGGGGAATTCCTCTAAGCGTCTTCTTTAAGTAAAAAATTTTATATGAAGTGTACTCCTCTTGAACATGTCATTATTCTTCTATAAAAGAATAGACGCGTAAACTATAATCAAGATTAAATTCCTCGATAAAGAAGTTATGCAATAAGAATCCGAATATCCTCTTAAAAAAAGAGAATATACAAAATATTAGCGGCATACGCGCTTATTGAAAGGAGATACGATGCTGTTTGGAGATGTATTTGTTTGCTCGTTTGCTGTTTCCTGTAATTTTGCCTTAACATTTCAACGTCTTATTTATTCTTATTGTTTCATAATAAAAAATTAATACCTAATTTTCTCATATCTTATAACTGCTAGAAACCAAAGATTGTCAAACACACTCTAAAACTTCGAATCCTTCCGCGATAATTTCGAATCCGAAGCGTTATGCTGGTCACCCATCTATTCTGACTGCGTTGCTTAACCTAACGATCGAGCGGCACGCCGTGATTCCAATGACTCCAACGATGTACTTACAATTTATGCTTATAAAATGTATATTTACAGTTCACAGTATATTATAACGTATCTAGTAAATACACACGTTGATTCGCCTATCTATTTTATTTAATATCTTTAAAGTTGATGTAGTTATCTACAAAATGACTTCGATCATTTTTTCCAGTTTAATGTTTTTTATGCATTTTTTATTATCGATATGGCTTGCGTCAGACTCAATATAATAGAGAATATTATGAAATAAAAGAATATTCAGGGTTTGCGCAAAATTGCTTAAACACATTTCAATTTTACACATAAATAATAAGAAAAATATATATGATTATGGTATATTGTAATATAATATGTATAATACATATATATTAATATAATAAAATTTAATAATAATTTATTTTATTAATATTATTATATAATAATAATTTTTTCCTTAATATCACCAATAATATAATTTTCAATGCTCCTCAAATTTTGTTGTAAAAAATTGTATGTTTTATTCAATATATATTCAACATTGCAGCAATATCTTGTAATCAGTGTAGAAAAATCAACATATATTCAATGTAGAAAAAACATCCGCATTTCTATTTTCAATGTTGCAACGTCTCATCAAAGTTTTTCCAACGTTCTGTGCTGTATGGGATAGCTTTCCAAGTAGAACATAAGAATCAAAATGATATCAATTTGACGTCATTTTGACCAAACATTGAACAAATTTATGTAAAAGTTATACCGGAAGAGGTATATGAGGTCCAGACGAGTCGAAGAAAGGAACTTCGGTTATAAACAAACGAACAAATGTATATTTGCATAATTAAATTAATATTATTTTGATTATTATGTTTTATTTAAGCTATTCCTAAAAATACAAAAGATGATTGTAATTAAAATATATATTAAATAATGTGAAAACTTTTTTATTTTTATCGCAACATTGACATAAAACAGATCCCTCACAGCACCGATATCATTTTGACATCAATGTCATGAAATTGTCATAAAAATGGTATCGTTTGACGTCAAAATGACATCACTTTTATATCATTTGATTTTTACGTCATTTTGATTTTTATATGACTTTGTATTCTACCTGCCCTATTGACAAAATCCAGCTGAAATCTCAATTGAGAACTCAATTACAGAATAATTATTTTGTTAAAATATTGCAAGAGAGAAAGAAGCAGTGTTGTAACGTATCTAGATACATGTATCTTTTTGCAGTATCTAGATACTTGTAACGATCCGTCCGCGAACGAAAGAGCAAACCGCGAACACAAAGCCACGGATCAATACGAATATTTGATTTGCGATATATACAAGAAAATGTAAACACTGCCGACCGGACGCGGAAAATAACACCGAATCACATCAAAATCGGTGTATAAAAGACGACGCGAGAACCTTGAAAGAGAGCAGTCTTCCGAGGCACTCCGCTGAACCGAGTTAAAGCTGCGACAGCAGAAGCTCCTTTCGAACACCACTGCCAAAAGCACCGCATCTTAGATCCTTCTCGACCGCTCCGCCGACTCATTGGATTTGTAGAGTCGATATCCTCGTAGACTTATTGGATACGTAAAGTTTACATCCTCGATACCGCTCCGTCGATACGTAGAGTCGACATCCTCGATATCGCTCCGCCGATTCGTTGGATTCGTACAGTCGACCTCTTCGTAGATTTGTTAGATACGTAAAGTCTACATCCTTGTTACCGTTCCGCCGACTCGTTGGATTCGTAGAATTGACATCCTCGTAGTCTAGTTGGATACGTAAAGTCTAACTCCTTGCTATCGCTCCGTCGATTCGTTGGATTCGTAGAATCGACATCCTTGTTAACGTTCCGCCGACTCGTTGGATTCGTAGAGTCGACATCCTCGTAGGCTTATTGGATACGTAAAGTCTACATCCGTAATACCGCTCCGTCGACTCGTAGAGTCAACATCCGCGTAGACTTGTCTGATACGAAAAGTCTACGTCCAAGACACCGCTCGACCGCTCGATGAACACCTAATCGTCGGGAGCAGGGGGTACAAACTCCTCGTATTTTAGAGGTGACGGAAGTGATTAGTTTCGCTTATTCTTTCGGTACGTAGGCCGAGGGCAGCACAGTCGGCCCGGCCCCCACTACCACTCGTCAGATGTCATATTGGACATATACTGTTTCTTATAGTTTGTTGTTCACCAGTTTTCTGGAGAAAATCAAGCGATTTTGGAAGCGATAATTTTTATTTTTATTTTGCGACAGGAGTGTTTTTTTACAGGAAGAGCCGAGCAAGGAGAGAGAGAACGTGTGGAGATATTACGTGTTGGAATATTTCTATTTCTGTAAGTAAATATTTGTATGTAAATTTATAAATTGGTTTAGATATTTTCACAATGTTGTTCGTTGATCTTTAATAAGGTCTCAGATTTGTTAAACACATTGGAGAGACATGTATTAAAAGTAAGACGTCTCTCTTTTATACTCTGTTAAACGTATTTTTGAGAAGTTTGTGTTGTCTGGATCTTTCCACTCATACATTTCTTTATTCCCTCCAAATTTATCTTGATTTATGTCTCCTTTATTTTTATCAAAATATTCATTCTATTTATTTTCTGAATAATTTATCATATATGATTCTTTGCCTACATGTATTCATACCATATTGATTGTTTCAACATTATATCATCTATTATTATTGCCTTTATTTCCATATGTTATAAAATTGTAAGTTTTTATTTTCTCCATTGTTGAAATTCTTATTATGAATTGTATCACATCAATATTTATCGTTGCAATTTTTCTGTACTTTATTGTATCTGTACAGTGAGTCTTTATTTTTCAGATCTATTTTGTAATATACTCTTAAAGGCATTGC